TGGATGTTGTCTTGATATTTGTTATTTTTTATATATTGAGAAATATGTTAAATAAAAAATAATAAATAAATGTTTATTATAGTTTTTCCAGAGTGACTTGAACTTTACATGATTTAGTTCATTTGTTAGATTGTTAACATCTTACACTATATTTCTTTTAGTTGAATTTTATATACTTTGGTTGAGATTTTATGTTGATGTTAAATCTTTTAAGCTTTTTTGTTAAAGAATTGACTCTAGAGGTCATATTTTGTGTCCATGAAAAAACTATTACAGAAAATATTACAATATTAAAGAACTGTTCTTGTTAATTTGATGAAAACATTTTAAATATCCAGTGCACTCACATCAGAATAACTTTTAGATTTGTTGTTAGAATAATCGATTAATCGAAAAAATAATCGTTAGATTAATCGATTAGAAAATAATTGTTTGGTACAGCACTAAATATAATGCGTATTGTTGATTTAGAACATTTTAGTAGTTTGGAGATTTAGATTTTTTTGTCAAATTTAAAAGAATATTTAAATAAATGTTACTACACCCATAAGTTTGTTTTTTCGGTGTAATTATATCTCAAAATACCAACATTATTTTTTTCCTGCAGCTCAGCGTGAATGGTTCCTCAAACCTCATTCATTGGCTGTGTCTCAGTTCATGGACTGCCTCCTCATGAGTACCAGCGGGGCCACATGGACCACGTCCTTCCCAGTCTGGGTAGGCTGCTTAAACCTGCTGTGAAATGAAATGGTCAAGCCTTCGCTTGATGCAAGTTTGCGTGACCACGTGCTACCCTGTTACGAAGAAGATCGGCTTCATATCAGACCTAAAATGCATTGGCATGTCTTTTCACTAAGATTAACTTCACAATCAAAACGTTACACGTAAATAAATAAATAAAACATTAATATTTAAAGGTTTAGCTCCAGTATCAGTACTTGTAGTTCCATTTTGTTTAAATCAATGTTTTTGCAGCATAAATTTTATCAGCTAAGTTGCCAAACTTACATTTAAAAACGAATTCTTCGGTCCGTGATGAATTTCCAAACTATGATGACTTAGTAAAAAAACATAAACTCCATCGTCTTTGTTTCTCTGTTTGTTTGCAGTTGGCGCATTGAATCCTGGGATATCCTCGGCCAGGAAAGATACTCAGATTCATCTTGGAATTATGAGACTTTGTGGGCTGCATTCCTCGGTCGCCTGAGGAGGAGCCTTCGAATTGGGACAGCACTCGGTGCGGGGCAGTGACGTTATGCGGCCGACAAATGTGCACTCATGAGCATGCAGCCCATCAATTGAGACACAGCCGATATTTTTCCAGAACATACTGGATGAAACTAGCATTGCTCACTAAATAAATAGTTCCCATTGCATTGCATGCCCACAATTAAAACAAAGATGTCATGTGATTTGTTAGAACTTGGGGTATATACAGTATGATTGTGTTGATGCCCAGCTAATACCACACCAGTTATAGACATTTTGTGTTTGCTACAGTCTATTTAGCTTTGACGGCTATCTGGAATTGAGTTGCCTTAAAGGGATCCCCGATTAATTACATTAGACTTTATTTGATAAACATTTATTTTAACTGTAAAATAAAGACTGTAAAAATACTGTAGGATGTTTAGTTTTGTAAATTTTTAAAATATATTTTAACATAGACGGAGCCATTTTATTTACACGCAAAGCATTCTGGGTAAATGATGACGTGGATAGGTCCTCGGTGCGAGGCTGCTAGCGAGCTATATCCACCCTGAAGGTTAATCTTGGACAATATCTGATGATCGACTCGACTGATCGATTACAAACATGGCAGCGATGGATGTAAAC